AAGAAAGGTATGTTCCAATTTTACTCTGGCAAACTCCATTTACACCAAACAAAAAGAACTATTGCTGTCGATACTGGGACTGTGTAAGGCTGTGGCAAGTGTCAGTATTTACAATAGATGGAAGATTTCATGATACCTGTTGTCTTTCTGTCACAAGCTATTTTTTACTTGTTTGTTTTGGTTACTTTGCTTTAGTGTATGGAGTTCCTACGTTGGATCTAATGTAAAGATCGCCATTGAGTTCTTTTGCGTCATAAGCGCGTGTTCTTTATAAAATATGACTTAATCTTACAAGAGGACCTTACATTATTTTATTTTTGTGCATTATTTAATGCATAATGGAGATGAGAGAGTATATTAAAGATTTCATATGGACATTTTACCCTGTTCCATAATTTCCCATTCTATTTTTTTATCTGAGCCATGGTAATGGCAATTCCAATTGATGAGGATATCTCACGTCCTGTACTTTTTGACTTTGTTGTGTTTTTTCCCTTCCCAGGGGTTTGTCCTGAACCAGAGTCGTCGTCAGCGTAGGGAACGCGTGGCACTGTTGACGGAGAGCATAGTGTCTGATGAGGATTCAGGTCAAAGTCCCTGGTCTGCCATTGACTCCGAGCCTCTACTACATCCACCTGATGTTATCAAGAAGGAAATGCAAGATCCCAGCATGGTCACATCTTAGGCTGTCTCTTGAACTTCAGGTTGGTCGGCGGCTTGGCCTCCAGGCCCATTTGTGAGGTTGAAACATTTCAAGTGACCTCAACTCAGATTTTTGCTGTAGTATATGATGAACCCTTACGAGCAAGAGGTGTTGAAGCCAGGCTTGAAGTCTTGCAGCCAAAGGAGGAGATGAAGTTGGAGAAATGTTCGTGAGATGGAAAAAATTTGTTCAAATCGTGCAAGAAGCTTCTTCCAGACAAGTAAGACGTGGACACCGCACGAAAAAGCTCTGTAGACAAACGAACTTATTTATTCCTTTTCATTTACTTGGGTGAAGAGGTTGTGGATTAGTCAGGGTACTACTGAAATATGAGGGTGGAGTTGGCATTAATTAAAAGGAGGGGCCCGAACAGGTGTTTGTGTTTGCTTTCATACATTTATATATGTACCCAGGCATATTTTTTTAGTTTTCATAAATATTTATTTGATATTCATTGGACAGTTTTTCTATTCCTATTGGTCGAAACACGTCATGTGACCATGTATTATTATTTGATAATGCCCACTGAGAAGTGATAATGCCTGTTTTATCATGCTGGATATGAGACAATTTAATTGGGTCTGATTGATCAGAAGTCTGTGTGCATGGGATGTGCATGGGATGCGCCACGTGCGCGCCAATTTCAATGAAGGGGATTCTATTAGACAACTTTCAAACAGAATATACCATAAAATGGGCGGAGTTGTTCGGGAAAATGAAAGTAAAATTTGAGAACAAAGTCATTGAAAATCCATGGTATGTTGACTTCTTTTGACTCACTGACTAAAAGGTATTCATGAATGGGAATAAGTATGTGCTTGGGTAGTCTTAAACTAACATTAAAGAGCTTGCTCAGGTTTACGAACACTCATAATGCCCTCACCTACAGCTAGGGCATTAATCATGTCCATTCTCCAAGCACATATTTATTCTCTTATTGTTGCATATTCCAATGATAGTTTAATTTCCAGAGCCTACCGGTAGATTGATGTCTAGGTTGTTGTAGAACAGAAGAAATAAATCATTTCTTTGCATTTGATCTTTTTTTTCTCTTTTTAGATCTTCAGGAAGATCCATTTATTTGTTGGGTTTGTACAAAAAATATGGAAGATTGTAAATGTTTAGGTATAAAACAACAAAATTTATAAGTGACAATTGAGAATTAATGACAAAAGGCAGTTCAACATCAGATTATAAAAAAATCTCTGAGACCTGTTTTTCCATTGTTTGAAATTTTGTGAGGGGACTTGTGAATGATTTTGTAGATCACATCACTTATGTGCATTCATGCGAAATTAAGAATGTGGGCCTATTTATATTATTTTCTGGGCTTAAGTGCATGAAAAACTGTGTATTTCCCTTCTTGACATGCTCAACTTAATTGTCACCACACTCACGAGCAGGTTGCTCATCAAGGACGGGTTCCGCTCACGCGCTAAACGTGCGTCAAAACTTTTTTCGGTGTGACAACGGCTGTTGCGTGTGTTTCCTGTAATTCACGAAACGTATGGCCGAGGGGGGAAATTCGCTTATGTGCTGAAGACGTTCTGCTCTTAGCCACATTTAAACTATGTAGAAGAAATATTTTGTACAGAAGTTGAAAAATAGGCCAACACCTTCCATTCGGAGTTATTGTGAAAGTTATTATTCACGGAATTAATGACGTAGGAAATATATGCAACAGCCGTTGTTACACTTGTAGAACACTTACCGACAAAATTGAGTCGCGTCGTGCCGACGCCCGCGCCACGACGCTACGACTCCTTCGTCGGGTCGCACGCCGTCGACCCCTTCGCGTCGTGCATGCTCTCGCAGTTGCCTCCTCATTACTGATGATGGAAATAGGGGGCGCCCTCAGAGGCGATACTCGATCACATCTCATTGGCCCCAATCCATGCATGCCTGGCTTTTAGCTTCACCCTTGCACGCACATTTTTTTTCCAAGACTTGTGACATACGCCCTCTATTGGCCGTGATAATCGCAAGCGATTTTTAGAAAAAGTAAGCCACGGTGTCACGATGAAACGAACCACGACACGACGCAACGGCAGGACGCAACAGCATGACGGTAGGACATCATGGCCTCACCTGCACTGTATTGAAACCATACAATGACAGGCAACGTGATGGCCGACGCGACGTCACGACGGAATGGTACGACGGCATCAAGAAATAACACGACGCAACGGCACGCACAACGCGACCCATTAAATACAACCTAATAAAACGAGGCGACGACACATAAAGGCCCGACGCATATTGTTGGCTATAGAACACCGTACGTGGAGGATAAACAACAGTCTCACGTTCGGAAGGGTATAAGGGCCACTTGCAAAAAGTTTTTTTCCGAGTTAGTATCTCGCCGCGGCGAGTTATAAGATCTTGCCGCGGTGTCAAATTGAAATCCCGCCGCAGTGAATATTTCAATAGTTACATAAGTCAAATGTGTCTTTAGGGTGAAATGTATTGAGGTTTGGTTTGAGATCGCTAACTGGAACAAAAAGGGATGTTACTTTTCAACAAAGCTTATTTTCCAACACAAAAGAAAACGACGTCTTATTTTGTTGTGTGAATTTCCACATTCAGATGAGGGGTACGCTTTTAAAAATTCCTTCCTACATTTTCCAAGTGCCAAGCAGAAGCAAGCAGACTTGAAAGTTACATTTGAACTTTCATCAGTTGAAATTTATTAATTCGTAGTACTTAAAAATGGAGATCAGAAGCAGTACTTTTAGAAACGCAACGCATGAAATACTGCACAGCTTTGGCCGCTCAAAGCCTTTCAGGTTAGTGCCCTTATCTCCAAATATAGTATAGGTGAACACATGTAAGGCTCACCGAGCCGGAAGTGTCGACCCGTGTTCAGATGGTTAGAGTAAACTGCATCCAATAAGTTCTCGACAAAAAATGTGTCATGTATTTCCCCTTCACAGCGCCCTGCGCTGTATGGGTGGTTTGTGACGAGTGAACGCATGGATGTGAGGTCAAAGAGCCTGGGGATTTCAATCCAGTTGATGAAAAATTGCGTAAAAAAAATAGTGACACATAATTGGCTAAAAATATGCATGGGCGTTGCCAGAATCTTTTTCGATGGGGGAGGAGGCAAACCGTCGACTTAAAACAGTAACATTTAACTTCGGGAAGTGCGTCAATTTTCTTCTTTTCTCAAGAAAAAAGTTATGTTCTATTTCATTTCAAAGTGTCATTTCTTTGGCTTTTTTCTTACACGTAACAATTTATTCCAGGGTCGAGTTCGGGCGGCCAGTTCTTAAAACAGTTTTCTTGTTCTCGCACTCGAACGGCGGAAACGCAACCCAAGAACACTGTTCCCGGAACAGGATCACACACCACCTCCTCGTTACGGTTTTACAGGAACACACGGAAGAACTCGCGAGAGTTTAATTTTCGAACAGTCGCAACCCAAGAACACTGTTCCCGGAACAGGATCACACACCACCTCCTCGTTACGGTTTTACAGGAACACACGGAAGAACTCGCGAGAGTTTAATTTTCGAACAGTCGCAAAAGATAGCGAGATGGCTCACAAATCTGGAGACAATGGGAAGTTTTACAAAATTAACAATAATCATTTCCCACAGCAAAAGAATGAATGTTCCTCTTTAAATAGAAAAGAATTCAGCCCAGCTTTCCAAGTTTACTGTGAAAGAACGTATATGGATGCCGCCATGTTCCATGCAACAACCGGTTGTATATGGCGTTTTCGGTGTTCGAGCGGTCGACTTACGAACAATGAATCGAGTTGTTCTTGAACATACGAACAAGCCGCCCGAGCTCAGTCCAGATGTATAGTCTTGACCAAAGATTGTATAGCGCCGTACAGCGGCGCAAGATGGGCAACTCTCCACTGAATCGCGTTATCGCCATGGGTGCCATTTTGGTGTGATATTGCGCCACAGTATAATGCGCGCCAAGTACAAAAAAAATGTACATGCACACTGTACGTTTCTAGGTGGCGCTCCGTGCACAATGTCGTCGGTTTTAAGTTATGATGTTACACATTTGTATTTATGATAAATATAAGTTTCAATCTTAATTGGAGGTAAATATTTACCTTACTGCCCCTTTTTCGTGGATAGAGCCTCCCGCCGCCATATGTCGCGTGTACAAACAGCTTGCAATTTGCACACCAAAATGGCGGATCGTGACCTCCATGAAATTAACACATGCGGGATGGTCAGTTCCCCATCTTGCGCCGCTGCGCGGCGCTATACAATCTTTGGTCTTGACCAACCTCGACTCCATGGGCTGCGTGCGCGTTCTTTCACTAGCCTCTGGTTGTGTAGAATTCGAAAATGAATCACGTATAAACGTAAAGTAAATCGCACGCGTATTTCAAAGCTGCACGCTCGCGCCCCTGAATTCTGCTGCATGTCATGCAAGTGCGTAAATCTGCGTCGCGCGTAAACACACTGACTAACTTATCTAATTTAATATCTCAAATAATAGTAAGATATTGAAATTATACCGCGCAAGGTATCGTGGGAACCAACATGGCGCAGCAAGATCGTACCTATTGGTACGAGGTTAGGTCTTTGCGTACACGCAGAACGTGTGCAAGACCCCACTTGGAAAACTTACTACCAACTGTATTTCTTTTGTCGCTTGAGGGTGCACTTCTACTCGTCTTTCTTTTGTCGCTTGAGGGTGCACTTCTACTCGGGCAGGTTTAGTCTTGGTTCCAAGACCTTCCAGTTGTTCCATGACACCGGGAACCATAGCACGTGCTGTACGTACATGTACAGTACATGTATGTAACGTGTACGCGTACATGTACAGGGCGCTATCACCTCACGAAACGTTACGATTCGTGTGGTGACAGCATTCTCTAACAGTGTACGTGTGTGGTTCGTGTTGCGGAATATAACTACTGGAAGGTCTGGAACCAAGACTAGGGGCGGATATATACGCTTCCACACTCGCCGTACAGGTTAGTGAAATTGTTACAGTTGTGCACTAGTCACGGAAATCTGTCTCAAGTGATACGAGCTGGGCATTTATCCACCTGGGAAGCAGCAAATGCGACATTGCTCCAATTCGGTTAAAAATTTCAGAAAATTTGATGGTTCAAGGTATGGAAAACAAGTTTTAGAGGCTAATAACATTGTCGATTTAAAAGTTTCAATTTTATCATGATTATTATCGATAATTATTCCATGCTAATATTCAAGCTCAGAAAAAAATAGTGATCTTGTTTTCACATTCAGCAAACTGACGAACAGCGTCGTGTGGTTCGAGATTGCACTAAGGACCCTAACGTTTTACATTTTGATTTTTCATTTCTTGGGCTTTGCTCTATGCCATAGAGGAGCAATATTTTTACCTCATATTTGACAATAAGAGAAATTTCATCAACTCTCAATACTCCCTTCATAAATCTTGAGTTCTCGTACCCACTTCAAAGTTCAAATGAAATTCTACGTGGGCCTAATTTTCCGATAGTTTTGTTAAAGGTACACAATGTCAAATTCTTTTAAATACGCCTAGAATAAGAATTTTCTTGCGAAGTTGTTGAGTATGAGTGGAGGTAGAAATGGTTTATCAGAATTTATCGAATTGAAAGAACTGTTTACGTGTTACTGTGAGTAGTGCACCCAGTCTGTATGGAGATAACCACGCCCCTTTTCGGTGGTTTTCTCGAGCCTCTCGACCAATCAAAACGCTGGTTTCAGCTCGAACTCAGCCTCATTAGCATAATTTGAGGAGCCGGCCTGTACAATGTCTAGTAGGGGAAACCAACAAGTGAGAGACGTACTTGTGATTAATTACAGTATTCTTGTGAATTCTTTTATATTTCTGTATAGGCTAACATATTTTATTTTCTAACTCTATGCCAACAATACAAGACGGTATGGAGCGTGCGAATAAAAAAAAATGTAGGATTTATGTACTTGTGTTCAAGGTATGGACGTGCTTTTCAATCGGGCATGGTGGTTTCCCTTTGAAATAAACTTATAATGCATAAAAAGGTCCTGTTATTCTGTACGTGTATTTGTATGTGGTTTTTGCTCTAGCTGAATTTCTAATTTTTCGAACTGGTGTTTTACATCCCGTTACCTAATAAATGTATACGGTTTTTATGAAGTCAAACAGAGCGGAGCTTTACTATTAATCTTTAGTGTGGAGTAAATGTAAAATACATCGATCATTGTAATAAAATGATAAATTCTGCGGGCAGCACGACGTCAGATCGGATTTTGATCACGTAGCAAAGGGGTATTATTAACGTTTGTGCCATAGATTAATGTGCAGAAGTTCCCAGCCGGTATCCGACCCGAGAATTATTACGCGATAGTCACATAATACAAAACAAATTCAGTAGACTTCACATACTGGTTTAAGTAGTGTTTTTGATTCTCTTGTTTCAACATTGACATTTTTACAATTATACTTATTTTAAGAATTACCAGAAGATCGATGACCATAGGTTTGTTGAATTATATATCAGAGGCACTACATGCACCCATTTAATTGCTCTTTTACTCATTTGCATTGCTCGTTTACTCATTCCATTGCTCTTTTACTAATTCCATCACTCCACGTGATTGCGTTCCTTTAAAAGATTGGACGCAAGTTTAACTGTGAATGAACAATGAAAAGAGCAAAAAGAACAACGAAAAGAGCAAAAGAGCCTTGAAATGTGTAAAATGACCAAAGAAGTGAGTAAAAGAGATATGCAAATGAGGAAGGTTGAGGAAAACAAAGTTTGTCAATTAAGCAGGTTGGGGAGTATGAATCACGTTTATGGGGTTAGCGTACTTTTCTGCCCGTGATCCAGATACTCCTTCGATGACGTTAGTCTTGTAATTGTTTCTTACGGAAGATGCTTACATGTCATTTGACTATTTCCATGCGGTGATGTTTCAATGTTGTGTTGTATCCGCATTTTGCTCTTTAATTTTCACTAGTTTATGAGCATCTCTGCCTTGTGGTTTGGTTGGACCATCTCTAATTGACATAGATCAAGGACCTTATGAGGAATTTACCGTGGCGAGTGAAAAATGGATGCATCTAAAAGTAAGCGACACTATTAGTGTGTATGTTGGTGGTGGCTAGTGCAAACTCTGAAAGTGCGCAAATTTAAAATATGATATATGAATATTTGCACACATCAATGAAGACTTCACAGTACATTTATCGCAGACAACAGATGTAGATACGAGACTGGCATAAATCACACGTGTGTCATAAAGGATATATGGCAGGATATTTGACATCTCTTATTTCATTTCATGGAAAAGCACTTCGGCAATGACAGCTGAAACGTCATTTTCGAGTTCAAGATAGTTTATTCAAGACACATACAATCTGAACACACTTAAGAACGAATAGGTTAATGGATCGACACTAGTTTCTGATCTCCTTGAGGTGAAGAGAGAATGGTTCATATAGGCCTATCGGTAGAATCGCTAATGGGTACAATGATGTTGATGGCCAAACGCAAGCACGCGTGTTATGTATGTATGGAGTTGATTTTTTTGGGAAACGCATGAACGCGTCGTGTACGCAACGCACCCCAAAACGGAAGGCGAGTATGGTGTAATATTGCATATATAAGCGTAGCTGCAACGCGTATTTCCTTACGGATAATAGTAGTGAGGGTTTAAGTAGCACTTAAAGACTGAGTAGATAAATCTCATAAGCTTTCGTATTAATAACTACTTCATCAGATGTGGTGAAATAACACATCATCAACACAGGTATATAGTAAGGCAGTGAAGCACTCAAGCATGTCCAAACAAAGGGGCGTGAGTCATCACTAAGGGCAGTAGTGGGACGTGAAACCACGATCTCTGTTAAGTCCAGCGTCAATGCAGTCCAGTCTGTGGATTATCTTTTGTTCCTCTGCCTCTGAGTACAGTACATTGGTCAAACTGGTCAGGCACTACGGCAACGGATCAATGGCCACAAATTTGACATTCGACACCAGGATGTAGAAAAGTCAGTATCCCAACACTTTAATCTCCCTGGCCACTCTGTCACTGACTTGAGAGTGGCTGTACTCAGACAAAAGAACAAACAAAAAAATCATACGCTAGATGTAACAGGGACAAGAAAAAATTCGATCCCAAATTTATAGAAAGACCCTTTTTCTTTTGAGGAAAGTATGTATCTGAGAACCTTTTCATGTGATTGTCTGTAGCATACTTCCGCTTTGTGATACTCCTCTTCAACTGTATGATAACATTTGGGACGTACTTCTGCTTTGACATGCCCAGCGTTCTCCAAGAGGTCTTACAAGGGGTAAGCGTGCATGTCTAACCACGCACTGGCAAGACTCATTGGTAACCATTGGTGCCCATTCTAGTGGATAGTGTGGCAATTTTTAGGTGTAACGGGATAAAGGCACCCTGTTCTCATTATAATCTTTTGTTTTTCATGTGTATCCTTGCGTCTGCATTGTTGCCGATTAATTTTGTTGTAACGGAGTCAAAACAACAGTTAGTGGTCCTCGTCCATACTGGCAACGGCATGTTATAGCGGCTTAATGACCGTACTACTAAGCATAATGCACGTACATTTTACATCACAGTTCGCGGGTTTTGCAAAGTCACGTCACATGGCCTGGGTACAACATGATAGGCTTACTTGAATGTTTCATACAAGCTACCTGGTTAGCCATCTCTCTGCTGGCATTTTATACCCTGAGAAGTCTCCACCAGATGCTTTCTGATGCTGATTAATGATTTGCTTTGTGTTCTGTGTTTTTGCATTTCCCCTGCATAATGGTCTGTGCGTGTGTCACAGGTAAGTGTTTGTCAAAAATGTGGCTGACACAGAGGTGGACAAAATTCGTTTGAAAGTGAAGACTGAGTTGATGCTTGGGGATATACGCATGACGTTCCGGTTGAAAGCATGGAAACACATCTGGCAAATCATACCCACGTACAGAAAACTGAATTTGTCTTTTACCTAATGAGCACTTTGGTACTTTATGTGAGGCCGAATAATTCATGGTTGAGAACAGGATCCCTGTTGATAAGATTTACGTAGAAATCCTAAGGCTCCCATACATTTGGGAATTTGAATTGACTTATGAGTAGTGGGGTGGGGCTGTTTGGTACAGTTTGACCTTTGGGTTAAAAGTAGGAAAAGGTCTCATGAATTATTAAATAAAAATTATTAAACTAGAGAGGACGCGCACTGCTAACGGTCTTGCGTTGGGCTTACTATGGCCACGGAGATAATCTGATCGATACAGGAAGAAGGCCCTGCTGACCCTGGTTGAATTTCTTTATCCTTGACCAGTGTTTTTTGTGCCATTACCCTCTACATGTACATGTATGACTTGGCTGTGACTGAATGAATCTTTCGAACTAATGTTTTTAATTATGTCCCGTTACTCTGTTAATGTTTGTTATGGTTTTTGCTCTGGCTGAATTTTTAATGTTATAGTTTTATGCCTCGTTACGCTGTATGCCTAAATGTATATAGTTTTTACAAATTCAAACAGAGAAGAGCATTACTGTTAATCTTTATTGTGGAGCCTAAATGCAAAGTTCATAAAAGTTATGATTTCTCAGGGGGCGGCATAACGTCAGTTTGGGATTTTTAACACGTAGCAAAGGGGTAAATTTATCCGTCGTGCTGCAGAATATTGTGCAGAAGTTCCTGGCCTGTATCCGACCCGAGAATTATTATTCGATAGTCATACCAGTTAGTAAGAACACACACAAAAATGCAGTGGACTTCACATAATGGTTTCAGTACTGTTTTTATTTCTCATTTTCATCACTGATTTTCTACATTTATGTTAATGTTAAGAATTACTACAAAGTCGGTTACCGGAAGTTTGGTTAATTTTAAATCAGAGGCATTACATCTACTCATTTCTTTTCGGAACCATCTCTCTCCAATGATAGCAATCTTTTAGTTATTTGCCTCTTCGCCATTTAGCTGAAACAGTCCCTCAAATATATTAGAATGTTTAGCTAAAACTCTATTCAGGGCTTTGTTGACTTTTATGCCTTTATCAAGTTTTTCTTCGAGATCATCCACAATGTCAATGTTTTCCATCCCACGTCTCTCTATTTTTCTCTGGCTTCAGTCAGCCAATCTTGGTAGGTGGCATCGTCTTCCAATTCTGAACTATCTTCATCCGAGGTTTCATCATTCATTTTATTCATTCCTCGGTCAACTTGTGCCATAAATTTTACCCTACACCTCATTCCTATTCATATCGATATGATCATAGTTATTATGCTTAAGGCATATTCATGTGACCTTTTCCTATTTGTAACCCAAAGGTCAAATTGTGCCAAACTGGGCACCCACTACTACTATTCAAGAAAACTTAGTTCCTTGGTCTGCGCAGCCCCAGCCTGGCCGAGCCTAGTCAAACCCCAGCCTGCTCGAGCCAGACAACAATCATTTTTTTATACTCCACAGAACGTAACGTGCATTAATGCGACCACATACAGCAATAGAAGTGACTGTGTTGAAGGATTAGGCCTGACGCCTGACCAATACAATCTCCTCTATGCAATCTATGCATGGACGTAAGTTTATTCAGATGTCCTTAAATGTATCACAGGCCTTCCATACATTTTCTTTAATCACAATATTATTATTGTGTCAATGATAGGTTTGAACACTGAGTGATTCCACCCCCTAAGCATGTCATCTTCTTTGAAAACGTTGTTGAAAAAGTTCTTTCATTGGATCAACACGGTTGATGATCAGTTGTCGATAATTTGATATCATACTGAGGGTTTTTGTTAGGACTTCGGCATGGGCATCCTAGGTGGGGGACAGCGGTGACATCCCCCACCCACTTTATTTTTACTCTAAATAAAACAAAAATGGAGGGGAAAATCCTACATTTGATTCATGTTTTACATAAAATTTGAAAAATGCAATAAATCGTGCAAAGCAGTTGCTAAAAAAATAAAGTAGTCAGACACTGCCTCAGTTCGCACCAAATAGAATCTAAAATATCCCATGGCCCTTAAGCGAGCCTTGAACCCCATACTGTTAGGGCTTTGCGCTCCAAACTCAAATTAGTTCTTTGTCAAGGTTATATCCGACCTCCCCCACTTTTGAAAGGTGACTGACATCATTCACGTCATCGAGGAATTGACACAGTGTTTACTGATTGAAAAACAGAAAAAAACCAAGTAAATAGTATGGGGTAAGTTGGAATCACACTTGTTAAAACCAGTTCACCTGTGGAATGAGGGTTTATGTAATAAGTTCCCAATGTAAACCTTTTAGTTATTCAGGTTATGTCAAAGCTACTGTTTGTTGCTTGACATGTACGTGCGCGGTACATTGTACATTTACCCGTTTTTATTGTGCCAAATTGTTTTCGCATTTTCTCCACTGCGACTCATTCTTTGGACAGAAATGCCAGTGTTGTGATTGCAGCAGGGTTCTTAATTGACAAACTTGGAAATCAAGGTGAGTAAATGTCACTGCGACTTCCATAATAAAAAACCGATTACAACAATTTTGTCAATTCGCTCACAAAACACGCAGCTGATATATACACACAACTGTTGAATGTCCATTTGTATGACCGGTAAATTTACTGAGAAACACAATGTACATAACTTGTCTCTGATTCAGTCAGGTTTCTTTCCAGCGTTACTAATGTCTCTTTTTCCTGCCATCTTTTCCTTTCCATTCAGTCGGATTGTTTCTTTTTTCCGGTTTGTGTTTGATTGGCTCAAGTGCATTCGCTGGTGGGGCCATGTTGAAGGGCACAAAGGCCATGTTTCCCATCATGCTCATTGGTCGACTGATTTTTGGATCTGGAAATGGCTCCCTGTCAAGTAACTTTCAATTTAATACTTAGATACAATAGATGTCTGATAAATTTTCAAATAATTCTTAATACAACTTATTTTTTATGATTTATTTTTACTGCGGTTCATTACATTTGACAGTTTCATCCACAATTTTATCCCAAGTGGAGTTTAGAGATGCTCTTTACCTGAACTCACAAATACGTCAAGTGTTTATGAGTTAAAGTCAATTTAAAATTTGAAGGAATGCAAGATATTATCTTTCCAACCTTTTGTCTCTATCCAGTTTTGCAGGAGCGTATTACAGCCTACTGGTTCAAAGACAAGGAGTTGGCGTTTGCTTTTGGGATTACGTTGACTTTCTCAAGGCTGGTATGTGCAGCCTTGAGGTTTTGTCATAAAGATTTCTGTTCAGTCCTCCAGTTATCAAGTGAAAACTGGTGCAAACATCAACATGCATGTTCATTAACTCTAACTTCTTAACTTTCACCCTCCTCGTCTCGCAAAACCCCCTTAAAAAAATTTAATAAATGTTTCAAATTTCGTAAGATGTTCTTGTTTCCAAAAAAATTCCATTTTACCAACTTCTGCAAACTTTAGACTTTTTGAAGCGTAACTCGATAGTTACCCGGAGAGGTGAACTTTTACCAACAATGTCACAAATCTCCTCAGTCTTCTAAAATCTAAACCTATTTGTCTAACACCTCAACTTTTTCATTTCTGTTTTGTTAAGGGAAGTATTCTAAACTTCTTCTTGACCAAATCCATTGAGGATAAAGTTGGTTTGACGTGGGTCCTGTGGGGAGGTGCCTTCCTGTGTGCTCTGGGGGTTGCCTCAGCTATTGTAACAAGCATTTTGGATATCTACGGTGTTCGCCAACTGGGGCAGGTAAGAATCCAAAACCGTTGTGGACATTTCTAAGGAATTTATCAATTGCCTCCCCTTCATGGGAATTATAAACTTTCCTCCAATTTTCCAAACAGCCATATCGTGACAAGCTAATTTTAAACTGTTGCCCCCCTTCCAAACATTGGATTTACAATTGTGACGTTTGGATTTTGATTCAAAACCTTTTCAATTCAGGAGTCAAATGTAAAGGAGATCTCAAAGAAGCTCAGTTTCAGTGACATTCGCAACTTCAACTCGTCCTTTTGGCTGGTTGTCATGACAATCATGTTCTTCTACAATGGAGTTTTCCCTTTTGTGGCAGATGCTAGGTATAAATTTTTTTCCACAAATAAAAATGCTTCAACCCTTGCTAGGTATACCGTGCACAAATAGCCGTATGCATTTCCTGTATAGACAGAGTTGTTTGATTATTAAAGACAATCCTATTAATCCTCTCTGAGAAAATTCTTGAAAGGTTATTTTTTTCAAATGATAGTTGAATCCACCATTGAGATATTTATTAATAAAATTAGCAATCATTTATCGTAAGTTAAAGCTTCATTCCAGTGTGTAATGTATCTCTCTTCAACAGCTGCCTTTCAGACCCAAGCACTTACTGCAGAATTGGATTTCTGTTGCTATCCATGCTTGTAGTGCATATCCATACCACCTTGGGTATCAGATTGGAATTCACCCTGTGATTAGATCGTAATTATTATCCATCCCTTGCCTTGAATTGCCCTTTGATGTCCTTTTTAAGTTTTCGTGATTTTTTTTGTGTGTTTGCTTTGAAGTAAATTTATTCGTGACAAGTATGGTTACAAAGAGGATTCCCCGTTACCCGGCTATCTGGCAGGAGCAGTGTATGATGTTTCTTTGGTTCTGTGTGCGTTTCTAGGTGCCTTGATTGTGAGTATCCATTCTTAGTGCGGCCCTTACTGCTGGGCATTTTGAGCGGAAAAAAATCTTTAAAAATCGGCCTTTTTGCAGTAAACCAAAGGAACCTGTTTTTTTTTCTTAAAATTGGAACCTTCAACCTTGTGTAACGTTGTAATGACTGGACTAGCCAGTCCTAAATTTATCAAAATCTTTACAAATGAGTCGGTTGACCTTTCAGATTTTTTAGGCTTCTAGAAATTTAGTAAAACAGTGGACAACGCAAAAAGTACATAAAATTGTTCTTTTTCTTTTCACAATCATATTCCTGGCGCTTGAACGAAGAAGTGAAAAAAGACATGCCTGTAAAGTTTTACTGTTCCTAAACTTAGCAGTAGAATCAATTCGTCTCCAGTCAATTTCAAGTTATCCAGTCTTAAGGTCGTGACAGAGGCATTCCTTTACTTTTGAACTTGTCAATTTTGATTTAGTTAATGACAGTTTTGACAAAACAGTTTGAAACTGTCGATTGATTCCTCTTATGTGCTGTGTTACCATATTAGGACATCATTGGAATGCGTGGTCTGTTGGCTTTGTTTTGCTCCGTCGCTACCGTCCCAGTCTTTGGCTTGCTTGCTTTTACCCACGTGCATCCGCTGGTCTGCACACTGTGGCTTGGCTTCACCTACTCCTTTGCTGTGGTAAGTATTACTTATACATGTGGCAACTTTAGAATTCTTTCCAAGGTCAATATGGCTCCACAGGTTGGTGTGTATCTCTGGTTTCCTTGACACAAAATGATTAAGACTTTTTTCTTCCCCCTGGGAAGCTGGTCCACTGCATATGGCTCCACAGCTAAAGCTGGCACCCATTTGTACTTCTTGTGAGTAGTGAACATGAGTAAAGTGACTTGCCCAAGGACACAGCAATATTGGTAGCTTGTGGATTTGAAGCACTGTGAATCAGATTGCGTGCCACAAACCATAACAGCCATCTTCCTCTTATGCTTGGATATCGGAGTGCAAATTCAAATAACTTTTCATCAATGTCTTGTTATAATACTAATAAATAGGCAAGTCTATGGCCATCCATTCCTCTAGTTGTCACCCAGGCAACCGTTGGCACGGCGATGGGATTTGCATCATTTTTTCAGATGATAGGCGTAGGTATTTGCAACAAAGTGATTGGTGCTATACTTGGAAACAAAAACACACCGTAAGTACAATGCCCCCTTCCTCATATGCAAAGTAAGTGGATATAAATGCCTAATGTTCATTGTGATAATCTTAGCCGTTTTTCTGTAATGTACTACTTTTGGAGATAGGTCAGCATTATTGTGAGACATGTCTTTGATAATCAAGTATTAATCCCATTTTATGACACCACAGTGATGCTAATCTAGCCTGATTCTGTGTTCAGCGTGTTGAGAATCAAGTGATTTTGTTGTTTTTTTCTCCATCAGCTTGCCTCATGATGAGTTAATGAAACGTTGGAAATACGTTATGATCTTCCTTTTTGCCAACACGCTGTGCTGTGTTGTCACGGCGATTCTGCTCAACCTTTCAGACAAAAGAAAGGTACGTTCTAATGTGAGATCTAGCAACATTTTCAAACTTCATTTACATAACCTTCAAATCTCTTCCAAGGGATGCATAGATCTGTGAAGGCTGCCAAATGATTGATGTTGGCCTCAATCCAGTGTTTTGTATATCTTGTAACATAGTTTTTTTGCCTTAGTATGTAGTTTCCAACTTGGGATTAAATTCAACGATTGAAAAGCTGTTATCAAATTACTCTTTCAGTCGTTGCATGTGGAGAGCGTATTTAAGATTTCACTTTGAATATTCACTCTGTTCCACAACTTTACATGAAAGAACATACAATGTTCAATGCTTGCGACTACAATGCTGGCGATTCACAATAGTGCGCCTACAAGAGCTTGCAACACAGAGGCCAATCATAATGTACGAAATTTGGTCGACCCTTTCCAAACGCGCGTTGGGTCGACAGATTTCGCGCATTGTGATTGGCCACTGCATTGCAAACTGTTGGAGATGCACTATTGTGAAATGCTCATATTGATAACAAAGCTTTGCCACTCTCCTGGTCTGTACAGTTTACGCTTCTTCTGTCTTTTTTCCTCAGGGGTGTATCCTAAACCAGAATCGTCGTGAAGGGAGGGAAGGCATGGCATTGTTGATGCCGAGTGTAGCCACTGACGACGGTTCCGGCAATAGTCCCCTGGCCATGAACGAGGCAAAACCTCTGCTGCGTTCGCCTGATCTTTCACGGCCCAAAGAATTGAAATGACTGCAGCCTCCATCCTCAAACATGTGTTTTAAGTCAACAGTCAATTTTTTTGTAAATGTGACTTGTTCTGCGATAATGTTGTTTCCATTGCACAAAACTCTTCGTTCAAGACTCTTTGAAATACCTGTAACTTAAAAATGTCCGCTTGTGAATCGTTTTCACAGAACAGGCCTGGCCACAAAAATACTAAAATACTGCTGGAACCTTGCAAGGGTGTCGACTTGTCAAGTTTCCAACACTGATCGGATTTTGAGTGGATTACAACCAACTACATGTAATCAGATTACAGATGAATTGAAAATGAAAATGAGCCCTAGAGAGATTTGCATGGCAAGTTCAGTGTGTCTCATCGCAGAGCGTCAAAAGGATGGCCGTGCGCATTGAGCCTTCCCGCTCAGACAAAGGCTGTGGTTGAATTTGGAGTGCTTACGCACTTAACTGTGGAACCCTAATTTATACCCTTACTGATTTATTATGATGACAGATTTATTTTTGGAGGGGAATTTAGAGACAAGGTAGATGTGGTTGGTAAATGGGTGTAGGATTTGGGGTACGTACCACATTTACTGTATAGTGTTAGGGTAGTAAAGACTGTCAAAACAGACAAGCAAATAAGTGTAATGGATGACTAGTTGTGGGTTTTTGTTCTTTCTTCCATATTCCTTCGTCTGACTCTTCCGCTTTACTTCCGCTACTGTAATTAGTTAATGCGACTTGAGTGGAGATTATCTACTCTTTAACTTGAAAAGAGACTTCACTGATCTTAATTTAGTTGGCAAAAATATTGTTGGTTTTGTACAGGCAGCTCAGTTAATTTCTTAGTTAGGAAAAGGGAACAGTAGAGTGAAATTTTTATGAACCATCATGTTTATTGTGATTAGGGATAATTCTTTATAAAGTGATTGTAGTCAAAGTGTTGCTTAGATTCGATTTGGTCAATTTTTGTACTTTGCATGAACTACATGTTACCCGTTTAGAGCTCTCAGCCCATGCGGTTGCAAGGCATACAAGACAGTACCTGTCATATCTTTACAGGTAAATGTGCTGTTTTAGTTTCACTGAAAACTCAGATGATCATCTCTCATGTGCCCTTTATTGTGTCAGGCAATTAATATACATTAATTAAGGTGAGATTGGTTATATAAGGTGATATTTTTGGAAAGTATTAAGCAGTTTGGAAGGGTTTTTTATGTGAAATTTAGGGAGCACCGCAAGAACCTTTTTCTACAGTAATGCGGGTTACCCCAGTAATACATCATATGAATTGGCCTGATGGAATTCACAACCGTATCAACTGGTAAATCACTGACATTTTCCTTGCTTTCCGAAATACATCTATCTATCATCATTTTTTGTAATTCATTTGGCCACACAGGTATGAGTTGCAGCTCAGTCAACTCGCGTTCAATCTTTAAAGAAATGCGATCACGTTGAGTTTAACTGTAAATGAACAATAAAAAGAACAATGAAAAGAGCAGAATGAAAATGAAAAGTGAACCATGACATGAGTAAAAAAACAAAGCAAATGTATGAAAGAGCAAGGCAAATGAGAAAAAGAGCAATGCAGATAAGTAAGAGCAATGAAATGAGTAAAAGAGCAATAAAATAAGCAAATCACAAACGGTGAAATACATATACACGTGTATTTTTTATTATATATTGAACGATTTCCCTTGTTTCATGCCATTTAAAGGTCATCCTACATAAATAAATGTTATTTCTGTAGTCAAGACCTATGCTTGTCATCAGTGTGAAAAATGGTTTGGACGAAGTCTAATCTAGAGAGGCACATGGAAAATACCCACGCTGAGGAGGAATCAGACATGAATGAAGTTGACGATGATTCGGAACCTGTTGAGGAGGATGATGACGAAACCTCGGATGAATACAGTTCAGAATTGGAAGACAATGCCACCTACCAAGATTGGCTGGCTGAAGCCAGAGAAACGAATAGGGAGACAAGGGATGAAACATGACGAGTACGTCAACGAAGGCATGGATGAAGATCAAGCCGGGCAAAAGGCAAACAGAAAGACCCTCTGGCCAATCAAGAAAGACTTTTTGACAACTATAAGGAGTTTCTGTCAAGTTATCTACATTTTAAGGATAATGAAACTCATCAGGATATCGCATGAAAGTAAAAAATAAGCCTTGAATATAGAGTTTTGCCTAATCATACCAATAAATTTGAGGGACTGGTTCAGCTGAATGACGAAGAGGAAAATAATTAAAAGATTACAATCATTAGAGACAGATGGCTCCAAAAAGAAATGAGTACGTTATGCCTCTGATTTAAACCTTAACAAACTTCTGGTTATCAACTTTGTAGCAATTCTTAAATGTGTGTAATTGTAAAAAGTAAATAATGAAAAAATAAAAACAAACACCACTGAATCCAGTACGTCCACTGAATTTGAACACTAGTTTTGCTTACAGTTCAGGGTCGTACGCTGGAGCGTCTGTGAGCTTTTGTGATGGAAACAAGACGTCTGATGCATTGTTCTGTCAGTCAGTGATCTTTAGTAATCAAATATGTAGTAACCTTTCTAGCAGTGAACATTCCTTTATTTCCTCTCTTCCTATAAAACAAATCAATATAATCTTGCAACCCCAAGGTTTTCACTAGAATGTGAAACACATAATTATAAAGCCAGCGTTGAACTAAAGGTCTTCTTGATGGTTATTAGCTTAGAAGGGTTTTAAAACCAGATTCACGAACTTAAAAACCTGGTTCGCTGTGATATTATTTGTCACAGCGATTGAAGTAATTGCAGAATGACTCGCCACTCGAATGCTGCATCCTTTAAATCGTTGGCTATGATGTCAAAGTGGCCGTGGTGATGCATCGCAAACATGTCCAAACTGCAAAGGTGGCAGTCTGAAAGCGAGGCAACGGTGAATGAAAGGGAACGGCGGGAAAACTCAAATAACTTTATTTCCCTTGTAAAACACTCTCCTATTAAAGTAACGAATACAGCAGTAAGTCTAATGGACTCTTTGATGAGTTCAGCCGCCCATTTAAAAAGGGGCAAGTCGAACGTGGGCAGTTCTAACACAAACATTTTGTGACCTATTATGATCAGGTCACGTAGGTAAATCCCTGTGTGTATTTTGTGTGAGAGCGGGCAAGCGCGACATCGTAGCCCTGTGCGTATTTAGTGTGAGCCGTCAAGCGCGACATCGTAGCCGGCTACGATGTGGGAGAGGTGGCTGGCGGGATATTCTGCTACCGAAAGTTCAGTTGATATTCGAATAGTGTAGAATTTAATAGGGCTTAATGAAGTCGAAAAAAAATTTTTATGATATGTTAAGGATCGATACTGGCTTCTAATGACGATGTTGCATGAAATTGCTCAATATCACTTTAAAAAACTCTTCTACTTTTGGCTTTATCATGTGTGTCATTACTAACGTCCACTACAAATATTTGTGAGGGGTATGTCTTCATCAGGAAAACCCCAATAAGAAATATTTTCAACGGTTTATGTTGCATTAGCAACACGCGGTGAAGCCTTAGTCGCAGAAGACATGACCAGATTATGGCTACCCCGGTCATGCACCGCCCCATACAATTTCATGTACATATATTAAACTAAACGGACACACGGGCTGTGCTCGAGCGCTCGGTGAGCATACACTGTACGTGTTAAGTCTCGCGTGATGGACATGGTGGATAATTTTCGTGAGTAAACAGGAAGTTATGTAGGCCTACGTCTACATTCTGCTAGGGTTTCCCATATTTGTTAGCATCTGTGGCATATGTTTTGCTTAGACTATCTCTTAAGAGACATAGGGCCTCACAAAGAACTAATCTGGGGTGGTAGCAAGTGAAGATGGATGCATCAAAAGGTAAGCAGTGTTGCAGGTGGAGTAACATTTCTAACAAGACTTATTTGTAATAAACTTTTTCGACGTTCGCAATTAATGCATTGTGGGTTTAGATGACAAGTGTGACGAAATGGCTTATACACTATAGGTTTTAGTTAAATTATGACACCGTTTTTATCTTTGTATAGGCGCAGAGAATGCACGAGATCACTGCGTATTAATGTGTGCTTAATTCCCCATGTAAATGTATCATGTTTAAAGCAGCGCGAGACTGGTGCAAGTTTATTTTTTGTCTAGATTGTGCCATGCGGTGTAGTCAGTCTAGAGGCCCAAATCGCGTTTACAGCACCGTGTGTGACCGCCCCTTTTGTGTGCGCTGCCGCTGCGAGTCTGCGAGCAATTCAGGTTCTGGTTCTCCCAGTCAGAATCCTGTAGTCTCCTGAAAACGGCCGGAGTACACTGTTCGAAACGTGGAGTTATTCCCCGGTTCTTCACTGAACCACACATACTCAAGAAAGAGATTGATACATGGTGCAACTGCAATCATTTTACTCATCCAATTGAGAGACATAGCCAGAACTCACTGCTGGCAACCCGAATTCAATCTCTGAATCCACTCGTTTACCTACCTATGCACACCCTTTTCTGTCGGATGTGCACTGACTTCCTTCTGAGGAAGTTTTCTGACCTCCCATGGCAGTTTATAATTTCTTTACCGTGAGATCTTTCTCCCACTGCAAAACTGGGTTTTTACTTTAAGCATTTGCGGCTCAAGCTCCATACTTGGAGGGCTCATCTGTTTGCTCATGCTGTTACACTACCGTGACAATTCTTAAACCTTCCTGTTTCTCAGGGTTAAGTCCCACTAGTCTTGGCGAACTATTTTCAACTGTGGGGAAAGTCACCTGACCTTTACCTAAACTATCTGCCTTGGCCCTTGAGTTTGACGAGCAATCTAAGGTTCGGGGGTTAGGGGTCGTTTTGGCGGAAATAGCCTACACCACCGATTTGTAACTGATTTCGTGACCCAGTAGACTGACACAACAATGAGCATGTGAGGACACAAGGAATTACCGGTAAGATCCAAGGAACTGAACTTATTTAATATACTTTTCTTTTGTTAGATATTGTATTTGCAATATGATGTAGGGATTAGCTCGGTGAAGCGTTGAGGCGGGAATAGTGAAGGTGGAAACAGTGGATGCTGCACTGGATCCTGGTACTCTGTACACCCCCAGCACAGACCAGGGGTGTACAGAATTCCTTGCCAATGTGGCAAAGTGTACATCGGCGAAGCGGGCAGGGACCTCCTTAACCGACTCAACGAGCACAAAACTCATGGCAGAAAGGGAGAGCTTGAAAAGTCATCGATAATCAAGCACTCCCACACTGAAGACCATCAGATCAACTGGAGCCAAGCTGAACTCATCACCAGCATCGAACGATGGTATCCCCGCCGCATCAGAGAACCCATGGAAATCATCAAGCATGACACAGTTCCCCAAGACATCGGCTTCAGCATCAGCGATATCTGGCGCCCCATCCTCACAGCCCAGTCCAATGGGTCTCCTATATCTAGGACTCCCGAGTTAGGTTCCCCCTTAGTTACCCTACGGGTCTTCTCTACCCTTGGCACCCAGCTGTTCACTCTCCCACTGCCAACTCCAACTCAGAGTTTGGGGAACGCACACCCCAACGAAGCTTATTAAATGTGCTAGATGAATTTTAGTCCTTTCTTTCGGGCTCAGATGAATGGATTGGAGAGTGAAGTGCACTAACAGTACCTGAGAGCCCTTTGAAGGGAGAGCAGTGGTAACAGAAACCACAATGATCCCTCCTGGGCATTGTAGTATTGTGTGCCCGACACAAGCTTGAGTTGTTCTGATGGTTGCTTGGTTTATTGTGTGTCAGATGCAGGAGTACAACTACATGAATATTATATACATGTACACTCTTCACATGGGGGGCTAGGTCTAATGGGGTAATATGATTGATGTCTAGCAGAAGGGGCCATTAGGATCCAGAAGAGGGCATAGCTACAAGGACATTCTAATAAGGGTACCGTTGCTGGGTATAGTTATGGGGGTCTGGAGTGGACGTGTAAGAGTGCAGGATACTACAGGTATGAGGCTGTGCGGTGCCAGGCAAGCTACCTCGGAAAGAGCACGGGTCGGAAAGTTAAGCTGTAGTAGAGCCTCTCCATGGAGGTGGAAATTTGGCCAAGAGAGGCCTAGTACTGGCGCCAGGTCGCTGGTAGAGACAGGGAACGAGACTGTTCCTTTGCGGGTATTTAATCCAGGAAAAGGCAAAAGAGTTACCAGGAAAGGGACCGTTGTGGGAATGGTCACTACGGTAGAACCCGAGGCAGTCCATGGTAAAATGGACAAGCCCACAGAATTAAGGCAGGGCTTGCCAGAGTATTTGCAAGACCTGTCAAGTAGTAGTGTTTCTACTCTACAGGTCAGTACCACGGAGAAGTAGAGAACCGTTTGGTAGACTTCCAAGATGTTTTCTCCTCTTGTGACCATGACTTTGGCAGAACTGATGTTGCTAAGCATGAGATCACAACTGGTGCTGCAAGACCAGTAAAAGAGAAGCGCAGACGCCAATCTTTTGCTAACCAGCAAGAAATCCAGAGGCAGGTCGCTGACCTGGACGAACGAGAGGTGATAGAACCCTTGGACAGTCCTTGGGCGGCCATTGTCGTCCTTGTGACGAAGAAAGATGGGACGAAGCGTTTCTGTGTAGATGACAGAAAGTTAAACGCCGTCACCATTAAAGGTGCGTACCCAGTTCCACGCATCGACGAGCCAATTGAGAGGAGCATTGAGAGGAGCCAAGTCGTTTGTGACTCCAGACCTCACTTTAGGCTATTGGCAGGTTGCGCTTCGTGACGAGGCCAGTCAGAAATCCACATTTGTGGTGAGAAATGGGCTGCACAGATGAAAATGCATGCCCTTTGGCCTGTGTAACCTTTGAAAGACTTATTAAGAAAGTTATGACGGGGCTACAGTCGGAAATCCTGCTGACATATTTAGATACGACGTGATCGTCTTTGGTAAGACAGCACAGCGTCTGAGAGTGATACTAGAGAGCTTGAGACAGGCAGGGCTTAAGGTCAAGCCAAGTAAATGCCAACTATTCCAGAAGTCCGTTGGCTACCTTGGGCACATCGTGTCGCAGAAGGGGTGGCCACTGACCCAGGAAAGGTGAGGGCCTGTGCTTAAGTGTACAAGGGACGTGAGAAGCTTCCTCGGCCTTTAGGCCTATTACCGAAAGTACATCAGAGGCTTTGCGGAGATGGCTGGTCTTCTGCATACCTTTACAGAAAAGGCGCGAGAGTATGAGTGGAGTGAAGTATCTCAGCAAACACATAATTTTGTGATAATATTTTTTTGCAGGTCGCGCCGATGTTGTTAGAAAAACATTTTGAAATGACATTTTAATCACAGCATAGAAACATTATGTAAAGCACAGAAACGTAACATTATACGAATGCGCCTAAAAATGATGTTGAGATAATTGACACTATTTGATATTTTCACAACGAAAAACAAATATTGCCAAAGTAATGATTTTTATGACATTATTTAGAAGTTATAAAATTTGTTCGCCTATGTTTTGGGAATGCTAGCTGCACGCGTATTTATAGCAGCGGTGCTTTTCCGGAGCTAGGAAAACAATAACCTGCACTGTATGACCTGTGTAACCCCGGTAACCTACATGTACCACGTGACACGACGTACATACATACTACTCAAGTGCTTGTATGGTCATCGTTGATAATAGCTCCCCTCGCTCGATGCATTGGAACTAGAAGGGAATAAGAACACCTGTGAAAGACTTCATAACAAAACTGAAGAAACAATAAGCTGACGTCACTGAAGCGAACGCCAGCGCTACAACGTTCCCATGGCCTGTTTCGCTTCCTATTTTTGCATCCTGGAGTCAATTTTGAATATTCATTTAAAATTACAATTACTATTTTGCAAACAAAGGTCACGCCTCGGTTTGTAGGAGATGCCCAAGACGGCAGATCCACGGATGTATATAAATAAAATCTGGACTCCCAATGCCCTCAATCAGCTTATAGAGATTAGTGAATCCACTAGCGGCCTTTTTATCGAGCCGAATAAAAAAAGCTTGCCCGGCCTTTGTTCTCCCTGGCGTCAACAGAAGCGAGCCAAGCATTTGTATTCGGCTCTCTTGTTGGCTTCTATTTCATACAAAGGCGTTGTAAGTCAAAGTTTTTTTTATTATAATGCAGCTTGCGCCGATTTCTATAGCGTCCTCTTGTGACTTCATTTCACCTATCGACTACTCGTCTACCTGGTACCTTCCACGTATTGCTGAGTTAGGGCGTCTTGTTCTCGTATGTTCACGAATTGCTCGATACGTTCTTCTTGGGTTCAGTGCCCGCTCGAACGCCGGGAACGTGAAACTTGCAGAGTAAATGGCGGCGTCCGTTACGTTTTTCAAGGGTTAATGCTTGGGTAACTGGCCTGAATTCTTTTCTGTTTAAAAAGGAACATTCATTTCTGTATTGTGGTAAATTAATATTGTTCATTTTGCAAAACTCCCCATTGTCTCCGGCTTTGTAAGCCATCTGGCTATTTCTTACAGCTGTTTAAAAATAAAAATATCCCGAGTTTTTCCGTGTGTTCCTGTAAAGCCCCGACGAGGGGGTGGTGTGTAATCCTGTTTCGGGAACAGTGTTCCTGGGTCGTGTTCCCACCGTTCAAGCGCGAGAACAAGAAAACTGTGTCAAGAACAGGCTGCCCGAACTCGACCATTTAATTGGGTACCGGGTAGATCATAGACGAGCAGACGATAAGTGAAAAGAAGTCACAAGAGGGCGCCATAAAAATCGGCGCGCGCGGCATTATGCTCAATCGAGTCCGCTTTTGAGTTCTGCATGCTGCCATGCTTGGCCCGCCGGCATGCTGTCATGTCAGATTAACCTTGACCTGTGGCTGGAGAGCAAGATGTCACCAAGTTATCTTGACTTGTGGCTGTAGAGCATGCTGTCATGTCAGGTTAACCTTGACCTGTGGCTGTAGAGCATGCTGTCATGTCAGGTTGACCTGGACGTGGCTGGAGAGCAAGATGTCATCAAGTTAACCTTGACCTGTGGCTGTCATGGCTGTAGAGCATGATGTCGTGTCAAGTTAACCTTGACCTGTGGCTGGAGAACGTGCTGTCATGTCAAGTTAGCCTTGACCTGTGGCTGGAGAACGTGCTGTCATGTCAAGTTAGCTTGACCTGTGGCCGTAGAGCATGCTGTCATGGGATGGAATCCCAGCCAGGATATTTTGCAAGGTGCATTTTGTTTCTGTTCCCGATGAAGTAATACAGTCTCAACACATATTCCTTCATAAATTAAATCAAAGGAAAGAGCTCCACATGGATGCCACTTGAGAGCCTGTGCACGAACCCTATAAGACTGGTCTGAATAAAATATTTTTTAAGTAAACAACTCGGTTTTTCCTTTCTAAATTGAACGTTTCCGGACACGTTTTTGCTTTCTGACAGCATATATAGGTCGCTAGTTGTAGGTAATTATTCCTGGCTTCTGTATATGCAACCCTTCCCTAATTATAAACCATGTTAAATTGTTCCAGTATGTTACATGTATTTTTTGTTTTCTCAAGGTCAGACTTTTCATAAAAGAAGTTTCCTTTTTCCTCTCATTCTTAGCTTAGGATATTTCTTTTAAGAGGATTAACAGATTTATTCGGTAATTACCGATACATGCGATGATGTTGACTTGTGCTGTAAACAATAGCAGTGGTACCTTAGTTGATATCTTCATTTGTAATGCGATTGTTTTCAGCTTACTACCGTTTTGTGGTATTGTTCTTCAATTGCATGTTGACATTTGGAACGGCCTTCTGCTTTGACATGCCTAGCGTTCTTCAAGCAATCTTTCAAGGGGTAAGTGCCAGTGCACTGGTCACGTGTAACTGAGATAAACAGTTAGCAAACGTTGCCTAGTGCATGTGTAAGGGTCCATCGTGTTTTGTATACCCAAGGGGGCAATTAAAGCACATTTCAGGCATGCAAAAAATCCTTTGACCCCATCACTGCAGGTAACACTTATTTGTTGTACCACGGTCATAGATCACACTGGAACAGTCATACATAATTATATACGCATATTTATCGCAACTTGGACTAATTGAAACCTTACCTAACCCAACCCAAGCCAAGCCAACTCAACCTAACCTACATGTACATGTAACCCAATCCAACTGAACCCAACCCAACCCAATGGAACCCAACCCAAACCAAATGCAACTCAACCTTACATAAGTCATACATAATTATATATGCATATTTATTGCAACTTGGACTGACTGAAACCTTACCTAACCCAACCCAAGCCAAGCCAACTCAACCTAATAACCTACATGTACATGTAACCCAATCCCACTGAACCCAACCCAACCCAATGGACCCAACCCAAACCAAATGCAACCCAACCCAGCCCTACCCTACCCAGCCCAACCCAACCCAACCTAACACATCTCACCCCACCCAAGTGTATGTTTGCCTGTTTAGAAGACCACCCATATGTTTTGTTCACAGTTGTCAATCTGGGACCTTACATATATGTGAATCTGGGACCCTATTGTCCTCTATTGTTCATAGTCCCCAATTGAATGGAAAAATGACAGATTTAAAAGAAACTAAGTGGTATTCCAATGAGTTGTTTCTTTCATTTTTTAAAATGTTTTTGTTGCAAAAACTTTTGTACAATGACTTTGAATGGGCATGTACATGTATACATATGTATCTTTCATTTGCAATTGTTGCTACATCTACATGTAAGTTCTATTTTTCAAAATTTTAAGAGAATTGCCTCCTCAAAAAGGATCTATCAAGTCATTGTCATTTCATGTTTAATGTGGTAAAGCAAAACAAAGTTAATGTTGGAGTTGAATATTAAGCAACTTTCCAACTCCTCAGTGCACTGCTGTGCATTACACAAATAGGAAGTATCTTCTGATGCATGTGCATCAAGTGTTTCATTTCATTATGAATGTAAGTTTTAACAGAATTTCTAAACATGTTTGTCATGAAGAATTAAGGGGAAAAATTTTTAAATTAACTAACATGCACAGTCCCAGTCAATCACAATTATGAATAATTGGTGAGAAAAACTGAAAATATTGAGCAGAGGAACTTCCACTCATCCATGACTAAACTTACTGGTAAATGTATAAGGTCAACCCCCCTGCCAAAAAACCCTTTGGGGGGGATACCCTGATAATTACGGGTTTAGTGTTCTCAATATTATTACAGTTTCCATAATCTGTCAAACTTTCGAAACATTTGGAAAACAATAGCATGGAGGTCAGGCATGTTAAGATTGGATGCAGGGCATGAAATTGTATCATAACATGATGAAGTCTGTATTTCAGTTCCCGAATGCATGTCATATACATAACATGTACCTGCACAGTCGCTTGGCCAAAATCTCTCTCAAACCACATAAATTTGTATTTGAATGTACATACATGTACATGTACGTTTTGAAATTCAAATCCGAAAGAGGAGAAAGGTTCTCAAACTTTCAATATTTCTTTGGGAAAAAAGGCACCTTGTTCTAACCACGATCACATGCCAACACAAAAGACAGTCCATATCCGCCAGTGTACAGCCTGCGGCACATTCTACGGTACTGCAAACGGACTGCTATGTTGACACCATGCACGCAAAGGGCCCAGTGGTGGCCATTCAGAATATCATGATGCACCCTGCAGTCAATGGTGCCCACACCCACGATCTATATATCTGATCAATTCTTTTCAAAAATGATACCTGGTTTCTTGTAAATGTCATGGAAAGCCCTCCAAATGCCACTTGAAACAAGTGTCAATTTTTCACATATGAAACCCCCAGAAAACTTCATGGTTTTCTTTCGCGAACTTTCTTCATCGAAAGTACATCATGAGGCAAATTTCTCTCTAGCCCTCTCTGCAAACAGGATCTCAATGTTAATCTATACCCTGTTGTGATAGTGGAATAAAGGTAGACTAGGAGGCGGCTTGTGAGGACTGGTCATGGCTGGAGGTTTATTCCGTAAGGGTGCCCACATGGGCTGACATCCTCAGCGCGCATGTGCTGTACACATTATGCACAGTTATGAATATTCAGATATCTCTACATACCCCAGGGAAAGCGTCCTTATCTACAGTACTGACAATTACGCCAACCATCAACACACTGTGGGTGGCCAGTCCTACCTTCTGCCGGATCTACTTTTCCACAACCGCCACAGGGTGGTACATGGTGTACATGGGGTACTCTATTAGCTGTGGTTGCTAGTAACTGTGGCGAGTGATTTCTAATGTCGAATAACTACTAGAATGGAGTCTACAAGAACCCGATAATTATGTATATATGTACATGTATGGTTTTATCAGGCTAGAGCCTTGTCTATAAATCTCAACAGAGGGCGATCTTTATAGGGTTAAATGTACGATTGAGCAGCCATAAAGCCCACAGACTGATTTCAGATGTTTCAACACACACAAGCTATCACGTTGTGTCGAATCAATGCAATGGCTACTGTACTGGGGCACGGTATCGCTGAGTTGAAAACCAGACTCACAAGGCACAATGCATGAATATCACACTATTACGATAAGTGCTTTAATACTGCACGTGTTAGAACCCACTTCTTTCGGCAGATGCTTTCCAGCAGATGCTTTCCAGTAGTGCATAAGCTTCCAAGCTAGGCTCGTGCTTCTCAGCAGCGAAGTGCCTTTCTGGCCATCTCTGCGCCTCTTTTATGCCTGCTTTGCGGACGTCATAGGCGATTATAGCTCGAAGTACCACCAGTAGCCAATCAGGGTACCCCAGGCGGTCCTTCTGCAAGCTTCAGGGGAACACCTTGCGCGCCCTCTGCATTAGCCCGCAAGTACTCAAACGTTCCTTTGTCATGTTACAGTATATTGAGCATTTGATAATTGTGGCTTTAATTAACTCCTTCATGTCGAGATATTTTTACTGCAGCCCACCTGGCTGCCGGGTTTATTTTCTGAATTTTGCTAACGGCCACTGCAGACGGCTACATTGGCCACCAGGCCTATCTGCCAAGTTTGCTGGGTCGCACACTGCACACAGCCCTGCTCTCTGTAGTCATGAAGCCTGCTGGGGTATTTGGGTACCCAGCACTTGCCTTGCCCACACGGCAACACCTACTACCCAAGGACACTCGGTCACAGCGGAGAGTGCAGTGTCCGCTAAGTTCACACGGTCTGTGCATGCTTTTAGCGGGCACCGTGGCTCATGTGCCCACTTCCCAGTAGTCCACGCATGCCGAGCATCAATGCCCGGCCCCAACTTGTACATGTACATTGAACGCGCTTCACAAGTTTTTATTTCAGCTAATACCCAGTGAAGATTTCCCGTAAAATTCCCCTAATGTTTTTATTTTGCGTAAAGTTTGCTCATAATTTTCTTGAACATTTCTAATTTTTTTTTGCAAGTTCTATTCAAATCCCCTTTCCGTATGTAATGATATATATAAACAGCCCCTTCTAAGTTTGAACCTTCCCATGAAAACTATCTTTCCAAACTAATCCCTCCCATAATTATAAAATAAACAGACACAAGAAAACACAAGACAAATTTCTCACTTTTCGTCTTCTCTCGACGACTTGTCATTTCTTTTTTTTTTCTCTCTTCTCATATTTACAATCATTTATCTTTCTTTAATTTTATTAAAAAAAGGAACTTTCCAGTAAAAAACTTAGCCAAAAAAGAGAGAGTAGTTGCATTACACGATGTATTCAAATAAGTGGAAACTGTTGTAAAAAACTTTAGCCAAAAAAAGGAAAGAAAATGGAGAGTAATTGCATGACACAATGTCTTGACACAGGAGAAAATTCTTGTGAAAAAGTTCGCCAAAATTGTATATGAATAAGTAATTGATTCAAGTATAATGAACCTTGAAGGATTTGCCTCAAAATTCATGTACTATTTCTTGGAATACAGGAAACTTTACATAAATAAGCAATTGATTCAAGTGTGATAAACCTTGAAACAAGGAGCAGCGAAAAGTGGAACTTGGCTAATTTCACACATCAGTTTAGTCACTTTTCTTTTACCATTTCTAGAACAAACATAAAATTTCATGTACTATTTCATTTATGATGTCCTGGAATACCGGAAACTTTGCACAGATAAGCAATTATTCAAGTGTGATATTCCTTGAAACAAGGAACAGCGCAAAGTGGCACTTTACAAATTTCACATATCACTTTGGTCTCTTTTCTTTTACCATTTCTAGAACAAACATCACACCGTCTGTATAATGTAGTTTGTGTTCCAGTTGGGGGAATTTCTACAGCAAAATGTCTTCCTATCAGTCTACCAGGAAGACCAGGACCAGGAAGACGGGATGGTCTACCTCTAGATCGATACACTGGCAAATTTGGTGAACGCAACTCTAAAATTTCACTCACCAACATGTGTCTAAATGTCAAAAAACTGTCAGTGCCAGCAATTTCCTTATGCACAAGATAAGAGTTTACAAGAGCAACATCAAGCAAAAAAAAAAAAAAGGACAGTTTCTTATACCATTTGATTGATTATCTGACTGAACGGTGCGACGATGCCAGCTGGTCTGCAATATCCACACCCTGCATCCCCTCGTTGTAGTCGAGTACACACTTGGGTTTCTCCAAAGCGATGCCGTCATGGTTCCGCTTGCCGGTGTCGGCCATCTCGGCTGTGTGCATCGTGGACAGCATACGGACATCTTTTTTGTCTCGCCAGACCAAGGCAAGCAAGCCTTTGTCTCTGGAGCGGTGAACAACATCACCTCTCTCAAGTTTCAAGTCCTGGGGCATGTCTTGATGATTGCTTCTCACCGTCCCGACAACGTTGGTCTTCTGATCGTCTAGTTTCAGGTACAGTTCTGG